GAGCGGTGATGGTAGTGCTTTCCTGCTGCACGCAGGGCCTTTCTCACCATAAGTACACTGTGTCTTTGTCTGCCTTTTTAAGATTTTACCTATTTTTAAGTAATCTGTACACCCAACGCGGGGCTCACACTCAACCCCAAGATCAAGAGTCTCAAGCTCCACTGACAGAGCAGCCAGGTGTCCCATCTATAACTTTCTCAAGTAACAGACTTGTCAGCTCTACACCATGAAAAGCATTTGTCTTGTCCAGGGTTGTGTGTAGATAGAATTTCTGCTATTATCACTTATTATAGATGGCATGGCGTGTTTAGAATATGTACATTGTGTTTCTACAAATAATGTTTTCAGAAATTGTCAAGACAGTTTTTAAAGCCATCCTCTGAGTCTTGTTTTTTTTACTTAAAATTTCAAAGGTGTACTTTTATTTGACCTCCCAGCATGGCAGACCTTTGGGTGTTCTGTTTTACTAAAAGCCAAATGTACAAGGACAGTGAAAAAGCATCCTCCTGAGTTATGCCATGAATGATTTCCATAGACTTGTATTGTGTTCAGAATGTGCCAGGCACTGAGAGACATGAAGACGACATGAATCTTACCCCGAGGGAGCTTTCAGTCTGGGAAAGAAGAGAAAATTCAGCTATAATGCAACGTAGAGAACATTGAGTGCCATTTAGCCTTGTGGAAGGTCACAGGTAACAGCAGTTGCCCCAGGGCAAAGGGGATGGGTTAGAGAAGACTCTGGATGAGGTTCTGATTGGGCTGACCCTTCACTGATGAGGTGCAGAGCTGAGGAGGGAACACAGTTGGGCCTGAGTGTTCTGGCCAGGGAGGACGTAGGGCCATTCCCAGGAGGAGAGCAGGGTACCATCAAGGATCAGCGTCCAGCCTTGAGTCACACAGAGCCGGATTCCTGTGTGTGAGTGGCTAGTCTCCTAAACTCTCTGAGCCTTACGTCTCACCACCCTGCAAGCAGATGATCATGACGGCAGTGCTGCTTTACAAGGGCAGTTCTGGATCACGTGTATAAACCTCTCCTCAGTGTTAGGTCAGGCACACGATACTCCGTAAATGGTGACTCTACAGAACTTAGGGAATGTAGAGGGAGATTTGAAAAGCATGCTGATTTTAGGAATGGATTTTTTAAAAATACATATTTTAGGAATGGATTTTTTAAAAATATGTATTTCAGTGTACATGCATGGCTTTGCAGAAGGACAGTTTTTCCAGGCTAAGTAGATTCATTTCTTTGTTGTTGACAATCGAGTCCTATCTGATGAGGTTTCATTTAAACCACCTCTGTAGTCTGTGAGTATATTATTACTGTCCCGTAAGGGGGCTTTAGTGAACAGAGGGAACGCAGGTCTCAGGAAATAGCCACAGCCTTTTGTGAGTCCCAATGGTTGGGCCCAAGGTTGTAGAACAAGAGCCTTGCAAACTGCCCAGAGTGAGCATAGTGGCTTTGAGATGGACAGTGACCTCGCGTGCGAGCTTCCTGAGCCCTGGCCACGTGCTGGGCACACATCTGAGGTATAGACCTCAGTTAGGGCCTCCCCGAACTGATGACCCAGAGGTACTCGTGGCAAGGAAGCCCCCAGGAGTCCAGTGGGCATCTCTGGAGCTGAAGACACAGGAGAACATCCAAACAGAGTGATCAGGAGGGCTCACGGGATTGTGGAACGAGGCGCACCGTCTTGGGAAGAGCCGAGGCTGTCTCCTCTGGGAAGACCTTCTAATGATTTCACTCACCTCAGACTTATTTATAGCAGCTCTGGAAGCTTTTTAGAGCCATGTTTTTAAGAAAGAAGATAATTGGACATAACAGTGTTAGTGGCAAATGAGGAGTGGGGCATTTTCTCTTATTTCCACAGGCCCCTGCAGGCTGTCCACTTCACCTCCAATCCTCCCCACCCTGTTAATCTTGCCTCCCACCAGTTCTTGTGTTTGTTTCATGCTGTGTTTATTCTCTTTTGTTTTGTTTTAGCTTTCTTTATCCTGTCAGAGTTGCTTCCTTCCTAAGCCAGGACTTAGATTATTGTGCATAAAACATTCCTTTTAGCATTTGAGACTAGTTACTAATTTTAAAAGTCTTCTGAGATCTTCAAATCTTTTATTTGACACAGAGCACAAGCAGAGGGGATGGCAGAGGGAGAGGGAGAAGCAGGCTCCCCACTGAGCAAGGAAACTGATGCGGGGCTCAGTCCCAGGACCCCCTGGGATCATGACCTGAGCCGAAGGCAGACGCTTAACCGACTGAGCCACCCAGGCACCCCTGAGATCTTTAAAGTTTAGGTCTGCTTTTCTGGGACCTTATATGGTGTTTTTCAGCCTTTTTTTAACTCGTGCCCTACCAGCCAAATTTTATACCTCCCTTTCTGTAGCTGCTATTACAAAACAATAGGTGGGTCTGTGTGTGTGTTTTCTGGCTGTGAAATTACAGTATTGAATATTTCTTTTCAAACTTAACATGACCCTGCTATTTTCCCCTCTTTCTAGTATTTGGTTGGTCACCCTAAGTGAAACCCTTCTGTTTTCCTTAAAAAGATAGAAGTAACAGTTCATTCGTCCATTTATCCAATACTATATTACTAAATGCAGCTTACTGTACACCAGACTAGAAAAAATCCTGGCCCTGGTAGAATTACAGTCTGGTGGGGGAGACAGGCAGTAAACAAGGAAACAATAATCAATATCTGATTACAGATGAAGAAAGTGAAAGAAAGGGCCATAATCCTGCAAAGAACACTGATGCCTTCATTTCTGAAATGCTAGCTCAGGAGGCTGGATTTTGCTCAGTTTGTGGTTACAGGACAACTCTGTGGTCGGATCACTCCTGAAATCAGGTGCACATTCAACTTTGCTCAGAGACACAGGCCTGTTAGTGCCTTGTCTTTGGCCATTTTTGTTTCTAGGCAATCACTTTTAGATGCACTGCCTCAGAAGATCCCTAGGTGGCGATAAAGATGAAAGTGCTGGAGAATTTCATCATTGTCTAGTCTCTGTTCTCCGTGTATTTCCAAGAGGAAAGTTACACTTCCTAATACTGAGCATTGGCTGTTGTCATCAGGGTTGTTTTCCTATTGTGCCCAGCACACAGAGCCCAGTCCTGGCTTTCAGGAACAGCAGCGTGAGACAAGCGAGCACCGCGCCGCTCCCAGAGAGCTGCACTGTCGGCTTCACACCCCATGGCAGGGAAACCTTACACACTCCAAATTCCTGCTTTCCTGACTGCAGAAGGGGGCAATAATGAAAAATCAAGGGGAATATGAATACGTTATTTTTTTTTTTTTTTAAGATTTTATTCATTTATTTTAGAGAGAGCGTGCATGCACGTGCGTGAGCAGGGCGAGGAGCGGGGTGGGGGGGTAATCTACAGCAGACCCCATGCTGAGTGCAGAGCCCATTGCAGGGCTCGAGCCCACAATCCCAAGATCACAACCTGAGCCAAAACCAGGAGTCAGATGCTCAATCGACATGAGCCACCCAGGAAACCCACAAACACATTTTGAAAAGTACAAATCATTATACAAATGCAAGGCTATAGTAACAGTCACTTTATTGTTATGAAATCACTTCTGAAACTGCAGGACTGGTACCATAACCAGGTGCTAATTTGGAATTTGTAGTAAGAGTAAGGCTTTCGTGAGGTATCACATCAGTAGGACAGAGAGGGTAACCTGTAGAGCTCAGGCCATTGTATCCGAAAACATGATGATCTTACTGAGGTTGTCAGTATTTATTTCCAAAACAAGACTGTCTCTGAGAATCACTGGTGTAAGTCAGTGCTGGTGCTGACCAGGAGTCAGTAATGGGAAATACAAGGCTTATTTTACCAAGGAAGGAAGCCAGCAGTAATTAAGCTTTTCTTTTAATACACAGAATATAAAAAGCTCTTTTGGAGCCTTTCTGGATCACCAGGTATCTACTATCCTGTGTTAAAAATTTGCTGTGGTAGTGTTTTTTGTTTTTTTTTTTCTCCCTCCTTCCCTTTTTTTTTTCGTTAACTGCTTGCAGAAACAGTTGTCCATGAACACAGTTAAACGGTGTACCTGGGAATGCTCCATAAAGAGATGCTTGCCACGGTGCCCAGTATCCAGTGCTTGGCACCCACCGGCCACTCAGCATCGCTTTGAATAAACAAAACTAATACCATAAATACTAATCCTGTAACCGCTCTTGAAAACAAACTCCATTTTTTCCTTAAAGCATTAGGTCGGAAAAGTCAGGTTTTGCAATAGTGGTTGTGTGTGTGTGTGGAATAGTAATCGTTACTGCCATCCCATCTTTCCCTCTGGAGAAAGCGGAGTCTTTTTTTAAATCTACAGGCATCAATGTCTAATCTGTGTAACTTACTCAGGCTTCCAATAGGTGGTTTATGATTTCTAGAACAACTCAGAACTGAAGGAAAAAAAGAGTTTTTGAATTTCTCTTTTTTGAAGGAATTCTTTACATTGGATTCTTCATTCTTGATAAAAGCTATTTAAAAAAAAAAAAAAAAACTTCAGGCAAAGATTACAGACCAAAGGAAAAAGTTGTAGTGGAGAGAAAAATCCTGTGAACGTTTCCATGTCCCACCCTGTGGCCCCCTGAAGGGTTAGTCTCTACTCTGTTCTTTCTCCGTTGATTTTGCTAGCAGTGCTGTGTGCCTTCTTTCTCCATGGATGTCGTGATGGTCCCACCAAGTTATTCATTTAAAATGTATGTTTTATTTTTCCCATGGTACCTAAATGAGGATCTTAAACCCATTAGCATTCCATGGGATGGGCATTCCCTTAAAAGCACACACTTCCCTTTCTTTTCTTGTGATTTTCCTTTTTTTTTAATTTTACCAGCAATTTTGAAACCGCTCTTTGTGAGCTGCTGAGTTGATGGAATTGGCCATATCCAGCTTTGCGCTTTGTCTGTGTTCCGTACCACATGTGGTGTGTGGAAGTAACTGCATACTGGTTGTTCTGTCTCTGAGACTGGGATTAACCTTCCTGCCCCGTTCGATTCCTTTCTAGGTCCAACTGGCCCACCTTCAACACTCCCTCTAAGCACCCAGACCTCTAGTGGCAGCTCCACCCTGTCCAAGAAGAGGCCTCCTCCCCCACCACCCGGACACAAGAGAACCCTATCCGACCCTCCCAGCCCACTACCTCACGGGCCCCCAAACAAAGGCGCAGTTCCTTGGGGTAAGTCATCCTAAAGTCAGGGCCAGCGCTGCCCGGGCCAGGCAGTGCGTGGGGTGCAGCGGGCAGCGGGCACCTACACATTCAGCAAACGGGCCAGCCTGCACACACGCCGGGCGAGGGCTTGGATACATATGCGTGAGACTGTACTCAAGGCCAAGAAACATCCTAGAAGATATTTAGGATCATTTAAAGACCAGAGCAGTACTAAAGTGCTGAGCATTTCCTGGGCACCAGATACCATGCTCATAAATCTCTTTCAATCACAGTAGCAACTCTGTGCAGTGGGTATTGTCAACCTCACTTACAGATGAGGAAACAGAGACTCAGAAAAGCAAAGTCATCCATTCTCACAACAGCCAGAATATAAGTCAGAAGGTTTTCTCAACATGTAAATCAAACACAGTCACTTCTCACCTTTAAAGCGTTCCTGGTGTGCTTCAGGGTGAACGCCAGCTCCTCGGCCCAGGACCTAGGGGGCCCTGCAGGGTGTAGGGGCTGACCGTCCAGCACCCACCCTCCGCTCATGCCACACGGCCTCCTCACTGCTCAAGCACACCGGGCTCTCCCTCCTGAGGCCATTCCACTCCTGCAGCTGTGTCCTGCGCTTCGAGAGCCTGGCTCCCTTTTGTCCCTCCCGGCTTCAACGTTTGTCTCCCGACCCCCCCCTGTAAAGGAGCTTCCTTCCCCCGCCATTTCCTTCAGACCACCTGTCACTGTGGAGTAGTACTCTGTGTTTGGCTTCTTGGTCTCTCTAGAATGTAAGCTCCACGAGAGCAGGGACTCTGTCTGTCTTGTTTTTTGTGTCTGCAGGGCCTAGCATCGAGCCCGCATGTAGTAGGTCCTCCGTAATCACCTGACGGTGAATAAATGTGCACAGAGTCAGTTAGCGACATTGACTGCAGACAAATTTATATCCACAAGGTACATAATTTCCATCTTTCCTACCTTTTTAGTTCCCCAGAACTCCTCGCTAGCCCACCAGCAATTGCAGTCAAGCACCAAGAGTCTCCCCGGCGCCCCGGGGGGTCAGGCCCCTGACAGGCATGGAGAGAAAGAGAACCTTTGTTAGAGGAGCGTGCTCGTTCCCACGGGCACCTCCTTCTGCCCATGAGTTCCACTGTGGCTTCTTTTCCCTTGGGTTTCTGATCGTAACTGATAGGTAATTCAGCTGAATGCATTAGAGGGCTTCTTCAAAAGCCTATACGAAGGTGTTGTGATTCTTTGGAGTTTTTGCAAAAACCCATACTCACCCATATGCAGGTTGGCACCCATCTGTCATCCGGCCACGGCGCCACAGTGAGCGTGCAAACGTGTCTATGTGGTCGGCCATTCCCTGCGCATGTGTGTCTGCCTGTCGTGTGGGCCTTCTCGACCCATCCGCTCAGGGAGCCCACGGCCTCGTGAGGGAGACAGACCGGCAAGCCAGGGAGTGAGTGTTCTTGACCGTTGGGGCTGACATGTTAACGGACTGCTGTGGAAATGCTGAGAAACGGCGTCAGACTGCAGGGGAAGGCTGTGCAGAGGAGACATTTGTGGAGGGCGGTGACAGGTCAGCTCCCCAGTGAGACAAGCCAGGGAAGAGCAGCGGAGGCTCCCGCACGCAGCGGCGTGTTACATGTGTCCTTGACGTGTCCACGGGTTGCTATCCCCACCTTCCAGACATCCCCAGGTTTCATCCAAGAGGACTTTCCAAACCCAAATAACATTCTCCTGAAGGTCAGACCTGTGCAGATTTTCATACCACAAATCATAAACTCACCTTTTCCCAATTTCACTAAACGTTGATCCTGTTGTTCATCGGTTTTTATTTCCGTGTAAAGTTGATGGTGCCTGTATTCGTCCTACAGTCTCAGTCGGTCTACAGTTAATTTTACGAAATTTCTGTTTTCTGGCTTAGGAATCACTTTCTTAGATTTCTTTCCCGTCACTCAGTAGCAGGACTCGTAGCTGCTGGTCTTTTGTTTGTTTTTTGTTTTTGTGGGCAAGGGGCATTTTTCATTAAGAAACAGAGTCACCGCTCTGTGAGAGTTGGTGCCCCCAACAGGGAGCCTTTCGAAGACAGGGGCCCCGAGCCATCTGCTGGTGGCTCTCCGCAGCAAGAGCCTCCCACCTACCACCAGCCATGAGGGACAAAAACCAGAATCTGTCTGTGGCCTAGTGACAATTCTCCACGCCACAGACTTTGGTGGTCACTCACAAACAGCCCTAAATAGTAATTCTGAGACTGTCAGGGCCATTCTTTCTGAGTTAGTGTGGGCGCACGTATGTGAGAGCTACCTAAAGGCCTGGTCTGTCCCTGCCTATTTCCCGCTGACATGGTGTTCCAGAAGCCAGAAGTGGGATCCAGACTATTAATAAAACACATGGGGAGATCAGTCTCCTCGGCAGCATTTATGATGCCTACAGCTTCCCTCTGTGACCCATCGTTAGGATCTGGGCCCAAGAAATGGATCCCAGCATGAGGGGACGGTACAGGTGTAAGCCTCTGGCTCTCCCAAGGCCTCACCTTCCCGCAACATGCCTGCCATATAGATACACCAGGTTCCCGAACCACATTCTTTGCTCTAAGATCTGAGCCTTTGCTTACAATGTGCCTCAGCCTGGAATATTCTACTCATTTGTGTTAATGCTTAGTCCTCCTTCGAGATCTGCTCTCCAGGGCCCTGTTCAAGGGGCCTTCCCAGTCTAGCCACCCCCACACTCCCAGTCTGGCCCCTCTGGCACAGGGTTACCACGGTGGTTCTGTGTGCACCTGTGTTTCCCAGGGCATTCTGAACTCCTTACAAGGGCACGTGCTGTTTCCATCTCAGAACACAGTGTGGACCCTGTGCCATACCCAGATTCTGACCCATCCTTACCACTTGGTAGCCTGGTGGCTTTCAGTGATTATTTTTTAATTGTTCCATACCTCAGTTTCTCCAGCTGTAAAATGGGGCTAGGCTAGTTAATAGTACTTACCTAATTTTTTTAAAGTTTTATTTAAGTAATCCTCTACACCCAACGTGGGGCTTGAACTCACAACCCCCAAGATCAAGAGCCGCACGCACCCCTCCCCCCAACCGAGCCAGCCGGGCACCCCGGTACTTAATCTAATTCTTAACCACAGTTCCACAAAGTAGGAAATGCTGGGACCTCAACTTTCAGGACACTGAGACGCGGAAAGATTCAATCACTTGCCCAAGTTCCCACAGCTGGTACTCAGGGAGCCAAGATCTGTCACCAGCCTGTGTGGCTGGGAGAGCCTGCACTCCTCCCCCTCTCCATGTTCTGCTGTGTTCTACATGTGATCGCTCCGTGATTCCTTGGCCATTCCCCATGTCAGCAGCTGTTTCTTTGCCCATGAAGCAAAGACGGGAAAAGGTAGCCGGGCAGGAAGGTACCCTCCGCCAGGCTGTGCCACCTCGTCCATCTGCAGCATGGAGCCCTGGTGTGCAGGGAAGGCCGCTCCAGGCTTTCTCCCTGTCAGCACCAGTGTCCACGGCACCCAAAATAGCCCGGGCATCACATTACTCAAGTCCCACTATTGTGATGAATTCAGCCATCTGTCTCAGGAGACTGCTAAGGCAGGCTTTTGATGAGAAAACAAGTAGGCTTATGGGCAGATTTGGGTTGTTTGGGGACTTTGATGTTTCAAGGGGCATGTCATTAAACCTCACCTCTGGAAATACATAATTTGTTTATAACCTACTTTTATAATAGGCCAACACATATTTTAACACAATTTAAGTAAAATTAATTAAGAAATGAGGACAAAGAGAGAATAAAGGTAACAAGGTAAAAGTCCAAGAGTGTGATCTCTTCGCAAAATGTGTAATATAAGATCACATACAGTGGCTGGAAATAGACCACAGATTTGACACTGAGGTTTTTACAGGCAAGAGCAAAGAAAAAATACAACTAATTATCCAGTTTGTGGTGGCCATAAGATTAACCCTCTTGTCACGCTTGAGAGTCGTATAATTAATACCTAAGAGCAGCTCACCGCAGGACCTCCGTCCTTTGGCGGTATTCAGAGGAGTCTCGACAGCACACATCACGGGCAACCATAACATGCATTAAAAGAACATTCTGGAAGCCCAGGTTCTGATCTGGGTTCTACCAGTCCCAGGCTACATGACCTCTAGAAATCACATTCCTTATCTTTGGTCACTGGGATTTAAAATTGTATAAGCTTTTTTTTTTTTTCTTTTAATTGTAGAACAGATAATAAGTGGAAAACTATACCACAGATTGGTTCCCTTCTATTTCAAGGCCAGAACTTCAGGTGAAAGACTCAGCATTTGAAATGTCTGATCCAAGGCATGCACGTCCGCTCATTGGAACAGTATTGGTTTATAAAAGAGCCTCTAGACAGAAATTCCTTGTTCTTCCCTTTTCTTGAGTTTCCCAGTACATTTTCATGTCCGCTCCCTGCCCCCCACCCCCTGCTTCCATTGTGCATGCTTATCTAGAAATTAATAACGGCTACGACCATTTGTAGAGTATTTCCCGTGTACCAGGTGCCGTGCGCTTGTTCATCCATCATTCAGCCGTCACAGCCATTGTGTATGATAGAGGTGGTCACTGTCTGAATTCTATCACTGGGGAAATTGAAGCACAGAGCAGTCAAATGCTTGTATAGAATCACAAATCCAGTCACTTCAGAGCTGGTGTATGAACTCACTTCAGACTCCAAGTCTCATCTATTTATCCACTATTCCAGAAGACTCCTGGAGCCTGTGTGTCATTCGCTGCTGGGCCAGTGTCCTCCTCTCTGTCCACAGCCTCTTAGCCCGACATTTCTGACCCCGAGTCTTGGCCACAACTCCTTCACCTGCTGGCCCAGCATCTGTCCCTGGCTCTGTCTCACACACATCTCTTGTACACGCGAGTCCTTTTCCAAGTTGCACAAAGAAAGAAGAAATTGAACTGCTTCCGTGTTTCTACTCCTCCCTTGAATGCTATCCTTTTTTCAGAAATGTGTCTAAGTCATGCTTTTCTTCCTAGGCATGGCACGTGGCCTTTGCCTAGCCATGAGATTGCTGGGGTTCCTGTCTGCCAACCACAGAGACTTTCCCCTAGGTGTGGGGGAAATGAAGCCGTGGGCAGAGAGGCAGATGAGTCAGTGCTGCGGGCCCTGACGTCATTCCTCAGGAGCCTAGTGGCTACTGTGTGCCAGAGGCTGGGCTAGCAGGTGAGGTGACGACAATGTCCAAGGCACAGGCCCTGCCTTTGAGGTGCTCGCTCAGTGAGTAGGTCGTCATCATTTCTGTTGCATTCCATCAGAGAGCTGTGAATAATAGTTTCCATTTGTGTCATGCTCCCTGTGGCCCAGCACATACACTGTGCACTCCATAGTTTATCTTTTGTGATGCTCGTACCTATCTGGTGAAGTAGATACTATTTTGTTTCCATTTTATAGATGAGGGGACTGAGGCTTAGCAGAAAAAGCATTGTAGCCCAAGCTCATACCCACTGGGCGATGGTGGGGCTGAAGGTCAAACCCAGGCTTGTCTGGCTCCGAAATCTGCACCCTTAACCACTGCCCAATGATGAATGGTGGTAGGCTGACAGGAAGGAGGGAGTGGTTAAGTCTGGGTAGGGAAGAATTCCCAGAAGTTGACACTGGAGAGACTCTTTGCAGGTTGCATAGACGTTCACCACGAGTGGGAGGGGTTTGGTGTTGCAGAGAGAAGGGACAGAGGGCCAAAGTTATGGAGGCAGAGAAAGACAGTGTGTTTGGAGATGGAGAGTCACCTTGAGTGGCCAGAGAGCAGGGTTAAAGGAGGACACGGACATTTGGGCTCTAGGGTCAGGCCGCAGCCCCTGGGGTGATGGCTCATCTGTGTGACAGCAGAGTGGGTGGCCAGAAGCAGAGCGAGGGGCCTTCTGCAGCCCAAATGGTCTCATAGTCGGTCCCACACGCAAGAAGGTTAAGAATCACTGGTTTGGAATGTTTTCTACCTGGAAAGGGAATTAACAGATGCAGTGGTTTACCCTAGCATAGAACTTCCTTTGATATTTTGATATGGCTCAATGAAGTCTGAGAGTGTGAGATCTGAGAGCCAATCCTAAGGACTCACGCTAAACACCGTGCTGAAAAGAAACGCCTACCTGAACGGCATTCACAGCTCGGAGGATTCCCTGAGAGGCTGCTGGAGGCATCCTTCAGTACCAGTGATGGCTCATGGAAATGTACCGGTGGTTGGAAGGAGTGTCTTACTAAAATAAAGCTATATTTGAAAATCATCGGCCCTGGTAACATCAGTTTAGCTCGTTTCTTCCTGCAGCAGTGTCCTAGAGTTACAGAAAGTTCTGTCCAGGAGGCCCCCTGTCAGCCCTCGGCCATCCTCCCCCATCCGGGAGGTTCGGTGGGACGAGCGGTGATGGGGGGCTGGTTAGTACAGATCCTGGAGGCTGGCTGCTCGGCTCTGTATCCCAGCACGCACCCCTACCAGCTACTTGACCTCGGGCTTAGCTGTACCACTTTGTGTGTTTCTTCATATACAACATGGAGGGTACTTGTATTACGTACGTCATGGACCTCATCCCAGTGACGTACTTACCCCCTACCTCACTCCTAGTAGATGCTCAATGAACGGCGGTCGCTGTTATTGACGTTATCATCGGGGCATCGGGACGGGTAGTGACAAGGCTGTAGACCCGTGGTCAGGACTTCCGGTCAGGACTTCTGGGTAGACCAGGTAGCCGTGTGAACTGCAGGCACTTAACCTTGTTTCTTCATCTTTAAAATGAGGATAAGGACACCAGCTCTTCCTGTTGTGTGGAGTTGAGAAGCGCTTGGGCGGCCGTAGGTGCTGTGGCTCAGAGTTCAGTGCTTTGGCCAGTCCTGTCCTCTGCCCCTGCCCTCCTGTTCCTGATTCTCCTCAGCCAGCCCCTTCCCCAAGGCACCCGGGGGATCCTGTGGGTGTCCAGGCAGGGGAGGAAGGGGCTGGACTTTGCACAGCAGTCTTTGGAAGGGTGGGCAGGACATGAGCTGGAGCCCCAGAGACAGCTGTGCCCCTGCAGGGTCCAGGGGTTCCTCCTGGGCGCCTGGCAGCGTGGGGCTCTGTGCTCCTCCCACCGTGGGATGGGTCCCAAAGGAGTTATTCTCACCCGTCTCTCTGCCTTCTCCCGGACAAAGAGCACGTATGTGGTTTTGCGGCCCCCCGCCACCCCCGATTAGAAAGTTCTTCACTGTTCAGGTGCCTCGTCCCCCAATGAGGACGTTCCCTGCTCCTCTAACCAGTGAGGTTTTGACACCCTTTCCTTTCCGTAGCACACAACCCTGTTCACCGTTGACCTCATTCCACATTATCAGTCTAGTTTGTACACGTACATTGCCCAGGCCAGATCAGAAACCTGGCGAGAGCAGAGACATTTGATTTGCTTTTGGGCCTTCTGCTCTCCATCCACGCCTTGCACCTAGTTGGTACTTAGTAAATGCTAAGGTCTGAGTGAGTGATGGCAAGAGTGACTGAGAGTCTCGCCCCACAGATGGCCAGTTATCACCATCCTACTGAACAGCATCCATACAGACACAGTTTGTGGGTTGTGTATTCTGAGTCTGGCTGCCAGGCCTAGTCTGGCATTGCAACCTCTGGGTGAATTAGGTTTTACTCTTCTTTCCCTGCGCCCAAGCTAAGGACAAGATCCTGAGCCAATGGGACATCCCCAAAGTCCTGTGATCTTATAGGCTTTGTCTGGGGGTGGGCTGTTCATCTTTTTGACATCGTCCTTGAATACAAAAAAAACCACCAAAAACAAAACAAAACATACTGTCAGAGCCCAAAATGGTGCTAGTTTTGTTTCAAAGTTACAAATGCATACCATTCTAGTTCGAGACTTTTCAGTTCCTTTCTGGAACCAGAGGGGTGCCTGTCTGCCAAGTCCTGAGTCCCCGTATTCCATTCCCCTGCCTAAAGATGCAACTTGACATCTGATTTTCCCTGTAGGTAACGATGTGGGTCCATCATCATCAAGTAAGACCACAAACAAGTTTGAGGGACTGTCTCAGCAATCAAGGTAAGCTGCCTTCATGTTTCTCCCTCAGCTGGGATCATAGTTCACTCTTCGGAATTCTAGAAAGGAGTGTTGGTGGCAGTCTGCTCAAAGTGTGGCCCGCCCCTGATCGTGAGGAGAAACGAAACGTGGACTGTCAGTATGCACCCGTCTGTCAGGCCCCCATGACAAGCCACTGTCCCCCGGCACGTTGGCAGGCCGGGCTGTCCAGTGCCAGGTTCTCCCCCATTCCGGTTCCCAGTGGGGACTGGCCTCACTTCTCTCATGTCAGAGTCTACCAGAATGAGGTTGTATTTTTCATTTTTTAATTAAGTAGCTTTGTTCTGTTACTCTTGACTCCTTTTTGCAGACTTGAGAATGAAAGCAGTTCTCAGGGAAATCTGACAGCCCAGAGATTTTCAGACATAAAAATAGGACTCTTTCCAAGTGCCCCGTTTGTATGATTTTCTTAGGCTAGGCTAAAAGCAGCATCCCTTCCTTCCATCCTTTCACAGAAATGGGTCTTTGGAAGATCTTCTGTGGGCAACATTTATCCAATCCCAATGCAAAGAGTATTCTCTAGAGGCCCGATCTGAGATAAAGACACAAAGAGCCACTTACAGTCTCAAAACCTTAGGGAGAAGGAGTCAGCTGGTGTGTGGGGGTTGCTTTCCAGAGTTTATCAAAGAGCAAAACAAAGTTCTCATTTATTTTAATGCCACTGTCCTATTTAGTCTTTACAACTTTGTCAGATAGGCCGATTACTATTTCCTCCATCGTATAGACGAGGGAGCGGCCCCGAGAACTTGAGAGGTGAAGTGGTGGCAGATGTCGGAGCTGGACTCAACCCACTTGTCCTCCAGACTCCACGTCCCGTCGTCCCCTCCCCTTGGGTCCCAACTTCCACCCGGGGGGTTGGGGGGCTGGGCTCAGACTGCAGTTCCGGCGTCTTCTTCCAGAGGGGGAGAGTGTCTGATACGTGGAGAGTGCCCACAAAATGCTTTTTAAGCAGAATCAAGCCACGTGCACACAGCAGCGACCTCGTGTTCCTTTGCAGAGGAAGCAGCCCAGGCCCACGGGTGTTCAGTGTTGACCCTGGGCCTTGGTCAGGAACCAGCGTCGTGCTCACATCAGTAATTGGCAGGTGTGCTTCCCTGAGAACATGCCGAGGCCGGACGTGAGAAACACACGCTCCAGAGGGGTTCACCGCTTCTGGATTCGCAGGGATATTATGTCCATGGCCCGGGGGCAGTAGGATTTCACAAGAGCTGAGGAGAGAGTGGTTAGGAGGTGACAGCACGTGCATTTCATCTTCTTTGACTCTGTTTTGTTCGTTTGGTTTGGCTTTCCCTGTTCCTTTAAATGCAGTTAGGAGAGAAAGGGGAAAGCCAATTCTTGGGACATCATAGGACACAAGAGGACAAACGAGAGATTCAGAGGGGCTCTTGGCACGGAAGACTCCGGTGCTCGGCTGCTGTTCCTCCTTGAGGCTTCAGGGCCCTGGCGTCCTCTGAGAATAGCTCCAGCCTCTTGCTAAAGGAGCACTGCGGCAGCCCGCGGCCCTGGCATGTCCCCCCTGGCAGGGGAATGGGGAGGAACACTGGGTTATTCAGACCCCGTGGGATGGACTTCCTATTCCCGAGACTTGGGTGTTTTTCCCTACTCGTTTGGTAAGTGCTCCAAGCGGAGGGAAAGCCTGGAGGTCTGAGACCCAAGCTTTCTGCTCTGGTGCTGCGGGGGACACGGGAGCTCTGGCATCAAACAGAGCGAGGTCTCCATTTACATCTCCTCCCCTGGCCAGCCTTGGGGCTGAAACGCCCCAGACTTCAGTGTCCTCCCCTGGAAGTGGGGGTGGCAAGAGTTAGGGTGAGAGATAGAATCCCACGAGGAGACGGACTTCCATGTGCTCCACCGGGCGCTCACACATTTTACCTCTGAGGACAGGTTTTGAGGGGAAGAGGTGGTGGCTTTATCATTCACAGAGCTGGCCTGTTCACCCTTTCCTGGGTCCTCCCCAGCCAGGCAGATTTTGAATAGTGGAAAACAGACTGTAATCTTCTGTTAAAGAAATTTTGAAAGGGTTTTTAGAGAACTCAGCATAACTCTTGTGATTTCTTTGAATATTAGATCACTTAATGATATTACAGCATTTTGAGATCCTTAATTATTCTTATTTATTAATTAGCACCAGCTCTGCAAAGACTGCCCTTGGTCCAAGAGTTCTTCCTAAACTACCTCAGAAAGGTAAGATTTCTCTTTCTCATGTTCATGTAATTAGACTGTCATGGTACCCTCCAAGGGGACAGTTGTCTCTGTCTCTCTAGTTCTTGGCTTGATCCCAGATGCCTAAAGCAGCACCTAGCATGGAGTACGTGCCCAATAAGTATCTGTTCAATGAAGAAAGATATTTATAAACTCAGTTTTTGTGATTAGCAAAACACCATACTTCTCCCAAAAAACCACTGTCCTTTTCTAGAAGATGTTATCATCCCTGGGTCTGGGGATACCATTCTTTCTCTTCTTGCAAACACAGTCCAAGTACCACCTCTGCCACTCACTTGCCAAGTGGCCTGGGCAGGGGACTCGGAAGCTTCCCGAAGCCTCAGATTCCTCACCTGTAAATGTAGGCAGGAATACCTGCTTCATGAGGTTTTATGAGGGCGAAATGAGATCATGCTTCAGAAAGCCCCTCGCTTTCTGTGGCACAGAAATCCTTCCCTGGGATAGCATCCGTCATGCAAAGTAGAGATCCTCATGCTCTGAGAAGTACAAGAAAGCAGTGTTTCCCTGCCAAGCAAAGACACTCGGTTCTTTGACCAAATCTTCCTGGATCCTGATCAAGCTTTTCATCCATAAGACCAGCATGTCCGTTGTCTTATCTGCTCCCTCTTCTTTGTTGCCGGCTCCAGCTTGGGAGCTGAGAACATCCACAGACGCCTTTGGTTCATCCTGTCCATCCTCACTTAGGTCCGCAAGGCCACAGGGCCCACGCTAGGTGCAGATGGGGTTCAGAGGACTTGTGGCCGCTCCATGGGTTTCAGTTAATACTGAGGGCAAGACCTTTGACCCCAGAAGTCAAAGTTAGGGATTTGTGGTGGGAGGCTGGGATCCACCCCTCTCCCGAGGTCTTCAGGAAAGTGGCATATTTGGAGGAGCACTGACTGGGCTTCTGTGTCCTACAATAAAAGGTAGCTGCCGGTTCATTCTCCATGGAACACAGAGGGAGCTTCCCCCGGATTTACTGAGTCTTTATCTCAAGTCATTGTTTTCTTCTTTTAACCTCTGCCCAAAGGGCTGTCCTGATCCCAGAGAAGTTTGAGGTGTTTCCGGAGCACTGTTCCCACTTGTCTACGATCTGCCCCGATTCAGCCCTGTGCTCTTCCCCCATCCTCTTCCCCCATCGACCACACGTTACCTCTGGTTTCTTCCACCCGCCTGTCCAGCTCCCTTCTTCTTGCTCCCAAACCACAGCGATTCTTAGCCCCACCGCCCCCACCCCTGTGGCCATTGCCACTTTCTCACTGTCCCTCAGGAAGGATCCTGAGCCAGCATCATCTCTCCTAACGCTCTTCCTCCTCTTCCGCACCGCTCCTGTGCCGGTTCTGCTCGCTTGACCCGCGCTGGGCTGGCTCCGCACACCTGCACATGATGGAGAAGCAGAGTGAGGGCGGCGGCTCTGCTCTGCTTCCTGTCTGCTGAGCTCACGTGGTCCTCTGAGGCTGCCTGGAGCCCTCCATCTGCAGGATCCATGACTTGCCCCTGCCCTCCCTAGTCCCCGTCTCCTTCACACCTTCTCTGTTCTCGAAACGACTTCGCTTCTGTGTTCTCAGTGAACAGGATGTGAGCCCCCGCCCCCGCACCTCACCCTCACGGCCCACCACATGCCCCTGCCTGCCTGCACGTGGCGCCCAGGAAGTGGCCTGCCATGTCCTCAGGTGGGCCCCATGCTTCTGCACCAGCCCCGCCCCTCCCCGCCTCGGGGATGGCACCCTGGCATGTGCCGTTCACCCTGAGCCATTCCACCAGAAGCCAGCGTGCTGTGAGCATCCCAGCCGGGCCATCTCCCTCCAACCACCACCTCATTATACTGCTCCCATTCTTTTCTCTTGCTATCTCTTTTTAGTGGATTTGAAATTGCCCATAATAAACATAGACAAAAATATTTTTATTTATTTATTTGACAGAAATAGCGAGAGCAGGAACACAAGCAGGGGGTGGAGTGGGAGAGGGAGAAGCAGGCTTCCCGCCGAGCAGGGAGC